CAGATCTTACATGAACTTAGTCAAATCCTTGCCTTACACCATTCATTTCTTCGATTTTTTTTTTAATTCTAGAAGAACCTACGGTATCGCTGGCAGTTAGTGACAAAATGGCTGACGAGGACGTCCATGGTGGCAGTGGTGACAGCCGTGGAATCCAACACAAAAAACGTCAGATTTCCTCTGTTGGATGTTGCTGGACTCAGTGACCTCACGTGTGGGCAGCTGTCTCTTTCGGTCACATCGGTCAGCCGGCTTACTCATAGTCATTCTTATAGCAACGTTGCCGTTGCCTTAGAAACGGCTAGGGACTGGCGACGAAAATGATCAAGCCTATTTGACTAGCTTAATCTATTCAATTCATTTGTTATGTCCATACTCAACTTTTTCCTTGAATGGGGATGAACTATGCTGAACAAAATTTGTATGAATCGATGATAGCGTAAGGTCGGACGTGTCGAGTCAATCTACTTGACGCCATTTTTTCCAATGACGTCAAAATCGCCAATTTTTAAAATATGTAATTAGAAAGTCTGTTTGAAAAACTATGTGCCCCGCTGAGAGCCTACATTTCCTATTCTGCTATCCAAATGGTGCTTGCGATTAACATATACATAAATCTATCAATCACTCAATCTTCTAATAGAAGTCAGCACGTTAACAAATTCTCCACTAAGCACTGATTACACATGTAATTCGATGTCATTGACGTTTTACAGCTTCCGGCCTAGATAAGTGCTTAATTGCTGCACAACCCTGGATTACTTTTTTCAGCGAATGCAAATATTATGCGTAATATCTTAAACAAAGGTTGTATTTACATAAACTGATAAAAATTGACTGATTTCTAAGGACAAAGATTTTTGAATATATTATAGCTGTCATACATATTTATAACAAATTGATATGAATTTATGGATTATAGATTGTACAGTTTCATACATGATATTATTGTTTGTTGAGCTAACTGATAAAGGTTACCTAATGTTGAAGTTATGAGAAATAAACAAGTAAATACCTTTTTATAAAGTTACGGCATTCCATAATTTTTCGGAATGTTCAAAAGCGTCGTTAGTTTGATTATACCTACTTTGTGTATTTCATTCAGCTGAGGGTTAAGGGCGACGCAATGTTTATGTGTCAATATTGGCAGAATTTATCCTGAGTTCCGTAACGCAAATAAAGTTTGGCTTAAAGCGACTGATACTTGCAGTTTTCTCGTCAAATTGTAATTGTTAAAACAACTGGAATCTGAAATACTCTTTAAACATATTCAAATTATCTTTTGTAGGGAAAGCATTAAGCCCTGAATGCCCCCTACGAATATTACAAATGAGAAAGTGTTGATATTTGTTAATCTCATCAAAATGAAGTTGCGAATAAATTTTGTGACAGGGCTGGATTAAAAGGGGATAGATGCGTTTACGAGTACAAGTCCTATGTTTTTTTACTGGAGATAATTTGGAATTTACAGGCAGTAACTGTCAGTTAAGAACGGCTTTTGTATTAGGGCCACATTACGGGGGGTTAAAGCGTACTAGCGAGCTTGTTAAAAAATTCCGCTAGATGCCTAAAATTGGAAATACTCTAAAGATAGAGTGGGCTTAAACTGAGAATGGATTTTGTGAGATCCATGGGAAAAAGGGGTTTAAGAATATATGTTTACCTATTCTAACTAGAAATTCGGTTTAATGTATTAATCCCTAAAGTTTAGTCATTTTAATTATTTTTTTAAAGTGTTCAAAGTCGCGGACAACAGCTAGTTACTTGATAAATGATAGCGGTAAAGGGGCGGTCATCTCCCGCACAGGACCGAAACCAATATGCGGCGTTTCATATGGCTTTTCACTGACCATGGATAGCCTTGAGCATCTAACTACAGGACTGCATTAACAGTCCTCTATGATACGGTAAATTTACAACGTGCGCTGTGCGCTATCCAATGGTTTAAATTTAGAGCAACACTACTGATCAAGGTATACACATGATCACTGGAGCTGCGTTAAAAGTTTAGCTTAACGCGCAGTTTTGTTGGGCTGATGCTGCACCGTCTCTTAGAACGGTGCAGTGTTAACGGAACAGTACAGGAATCCGGAAATGCACAATCCAAATGAACGGTAGATTTCCACAGGCCAACAAAGGAGACGTCGTAAGATGCTAAATGTTTGACTGGCTAAAAGTTGAAGCATACCTAGATATAAAAATTAGGGTTGAGTATGCCGCCATCTACTAACGACCTACAGGCATACGCCAGTGGTGGATGTTGGGCCCCGGGCGTGTTTATTCTGTGACCGATTGGCAGTTATCGTTCCGTCGATGCTGTCGTCGTAACTTATAAGTTCTGTACGTTTCAGACACAAATTCATCGATTGCAATCGGTTCTAGCGGAATCCATTGATGGACTTCCTATCGAGATTTTTCTCTCACTGGGCTAACAAATAAAAAGACGCGATAGTAACTTTGTGAGAGAATGAAAATTTACTTTGAAGCAAATACATGATGTAAAGCAAAGACTACAGTCCATCTGCACTGTATGATGATAATGTTGATGAGGTACAACTAAACAGATGTTTTTGCCTTGTGGGGAACGAGCAGATTCTGCTAATTATGAAGGTACCACTCATCGTTTAGAGATGGCAGCACAGCTACGGTACACCGATGTATTTGAACACTTCAATGTTGGTCCAGCGATATAATGACATACTAGTATAGCCATCGTCCTAGATTTGATGTATCTATGTGTTCATACATCGTTGCTTCGTTTCCATCTCTACTTATGGCCTTCCTGTCAAACCTAAACAGCTCCTGCAAAAATTTTATGTACTAAATTTATCTTGACACATTCTTAGATGGTTGAGTGAACTTTAAGAATGCCAGATCGGCGGCAACGTCTGACATTAGCCCTGTTCGTACAGCTATCATCAATCTGTCAGTGATCGTGTCCAAGATTCCGCCACACAAATTCCGTTCATTCTGCTACGCTATTTAGACAGAATACAAGCAGCCGGATGCCAGACACGGTCGCCAACAAGTCACCGATCACTGTACGAACAAACCATAAGACACTGTAGTTTGACTGGTCGAGCGGACAACTAAAAAGAAACCCAGTGCAAGAGAGCTACCCAAACAAGCATGGGCGCAATTGACTGGCTCCCATCTGACTGGCGCCATGCAACACATACCATGCACCAGCTCACGGCGTATCGTGTATGTCTCTCATATCCCGCGGCAAATTGTTCTCCTACTTATTTCTGTGCACGCATCGCTCTGAGCTGCACCGAGCACCAGCAGCCAGCGAAAATTGCACTTCATCAACGAACATCCGTTACTCTCGTCGATTTTCATCTGATATCAAGGTGGAAGGCTTGTTCGCTTGTTCCGTATAGGACGGTTTATATTGGTTAGGGTCAATGTAATGGATGAAAATACGTCCTGCTTGAACTTCAGCAAATTGATACAAGTTCTGTACATAATTTCATCAAGGACAAGTCTTAATCGATGCTGCTTGGCTTTGTCGAAACTCTCAATATGATGTAGAAATTAGACGATCAACTAAAGACATATTGTGCTTACTCTTCAGACTCGTTTTTTAGATAAATATAAGACTGGAGGTACTACATTCAGGATGTAGTGGAATGACATCTAGCTCGCTGACAGCGAATGAAAATTTACTCGGCTGCATCAGTGCTTCTAAGAGCTGGTGCCTCTCTAATAACAGAACATTGGGGGGGGATGTGTTGGCGTCGGCTGGTCGGTCAAGACTGAGGAAGGGGGAGGGGGGTATTCGCCCTTTATTGAGATGGGGCATATTGGATTACAGAACCAACGGGGCTTAGAGTGCCTTTGAAAGCTGTTGAATGGCATGCATCCAATCTGAGTTCAGTTACATAAGGAAGTGCTTTAAACGAACGCTAGAAAAAATAGCCAGGATAAGTAACTACTGTATCTCAAACACTACCCTGATGAATCGGCAGAATAACACATGCATAATAATGAAGTCATATATTTCTATTTTATTCTATTCTATATTCCATTTTATTATGTTCAATGGTCTAAAGCCTTTTTAAACCAGTTCAGTCCATATTGGACATTGTCGAGTAACACTTGTTCCATAGGGAATTTTGTGGGAAGACTTTTTTGCCTGATATTTTTGATAGAAACGTCTCCACTTTAGAGTGGTGCATTCAGGAAACAAAATTTGTCATTAAACTTTTCAAATATCATCATCACTCCCAAAAAAAAAAGAATCGTTCTCGACCTGTATTTGCGAAAATATTCCCTATAAAGTATAGCTCCACAATGTTTCAGTCATTGGAATCTTTCCACATTAGGTGATTAATATTCATGATTTTTTTTATAAATGCCCTACCTACACGTTGTGTATTAAAAGCAGGACAGTTGGATGCAAAATTAATGATACTTGCATAACCTACACTACAAGTTTCAAAGATTGAACAGAACTATGTTTTGCAAATCGAGGGCATAATCGACCATATCAGCGTATTTGAATATTAAATCTGATACGAATCTTTCAAAATACACAAATACTCTTAGCTGAATATATTTATTCTTAAAGTAAACTGGTAGCGAGGAATTTACTACGATTTTTTAATCAGCGATTGTTTAAGAGACTTCGAACCATCTGTAAGGAAGAGTGCTTCTTTTCATGAACTCATAATCCAAAATGTAACATTCACTATGCCCACTTCAAACACCAGATAAGCTGTTCTATAACATGAACCACATACAAAATGTGACTGATGCGCGACTTATTGAGTTCTTCTAACTTTAGATAAATTAAATGCACAGTCCTTACCTGCACTGTTTACCTGAAAAGCTAGAAGTAAATGGTGCTAGTTAGGTTGACGGTCATTCTAAGGTTATAAAGAGAAACAGATGTCAATTGCTGATCAGCTGGACGTCAAAATATGTCTTTTCCCATCTAATTTACACAGCTTACATCTGTCAAAAACAATATCAAGGTAGATTTAGGATCAACTTACGGTTGGCTGACAAGATCCCCCACAGCTGAATCTGAAGACGAACTTAGCTTCCTCCTATTCCTACTCCAAGCTTGCCATTGTTTCTTCAGCCGCCGTTCAGAGTTCTTGGGACTCACGTGCTTCCTCAGAAACCGCTGCCATTGGCTGAGGCTCCCTCCATTATCTCCTTCATCACATTCTGAACCACTGCTGTTACTACCAACACTGCTCTTCCGACTGGCCCCTGTACTGTCACACCAAGATGACTTCCTGCTTTCAGGAGTTGAGGGGGTTGTCAAACTAGATTTCCTAGACTCAAAGCCTGAAGAGGACGATTTCCTGTCAGCCAGGCTACTTTTGCGACTATCTGTAGGTGAGGATATCGGCATTTCTATCGCTGAGTGTCTTCTGGTAGGAATGTTGTCGAAAGAAATTTGTGAGTTTTGTTGTTTCAGCCATCGTATTATATGCTCAGTCCTATTATTGTCTTCCTCAAGCGAGTCTAAAGGCTCATTTAGATTCTCGTAAATCTTTTCTTCTTTAGGCACATAGCTCATCTTCCTATTCCTATGTCTTACTTCTTCGGATATAGGATGCTCAAGCTCAATTGTACTCATCTTCCTCGACTTGGGATGTTCAAATTCTATAGTACTCATTTTTCTTGATCTATTCAACACCTCTTCATCAGGGATATTTTCTATGGCACTAACAATCTCATTGTCTAAGGCATCCTTACTGTACTTCAAGTACTTCTTCAACAACCTCAATACGATCTCGTCGTTTTCCTTAGATACTCTATCAGTCTTTCTATCATCAGTCTCTGACTTTAATAAATTATCAATAAATAAATTATTTCTATCGATTGACCTCAATTCGGGCATAGAAGGTCGTCGAGGATGCTCCACGATCTTGTCTTCTGGAATCTGGCCCAAACTCACCTTCCTTTCATTAACTAGGTTTATCACATTTTCGTTTTGTGCTTTATTGTCATCTAGATGCTGAAGCATCAACTGCTTGTGTTTCTCTGTGAGCTCTGTGAAGCAGTTATCTTGTAAGATGAGCTCCTTGTTGGCGACTCTTCGAAGGAACTCGGATATGGCGGTCCAATGGGCTTGGGTGAGAACGCCGTGTAGGCGTATTGACGAAAGTTGTAGTGGGATCCATTTGTTGTCTCTGTAACACCAGACTACGCCACCACTTAGATTAACCATACTTCGTGTAATTCATCAAATATGGATTTGTGGGTCGATATGTGGTAAGCGTCTGGGTGAAACTGTGTATCTCTGTAAAGAAATGCAAGGGTTATCCAAAGCCCAGAGCTTTGTCTTACGAGAATCTTGTCTAAGATAACTTGATATTATTTTGGAAGTCGTAATTTCAAAGTAGATCCGATTAACATCATTATTTTGCGATACTTTTGGTTATAAAATCTCGGTATACCAGATTTATCCCAAAATCACTTATTTTCTGCTGACGTCAGGAAGAGCTTTCAAGATAAATTGCATATTGTCATTGTTACTTTTTTCTGACTTTATTTGTAGTGGAATTTCAAACTAAATTATAAATTAACATTGCCACTTTTTCTCCTCTGATGATGACGTTTCGTCCCTTGTCCTCCAGTATCAACATTATTTTTTCTTAATAGACGCCATATTGGATTTTTGCACAGATGAATAGAGTTTTTAATTTTGATTCCAAAAATGTATAATACGTCATATTTCCTTAGTTGGCCATGATTTGTCTTTGAATAGAAACTATAAGAAAATAAAAAGGTATGTGAAACTTGAACACAAAATGAAAATTTTCGTGATGATAGTAACAATAATAATCACAAATAAGGATATGTCAATTATAACTGACGTTCAAGATGTTGTGCGTTATTTTGTAGGCGAAGCCTGTCTCTTATCTGAACATCGTCTACTGCTCGATTTATTTCTCTTCTTCTCAGTCTGGCAAACTCTGTTGTTATGTTCAATTTGAGGTCTGGTGTGGTATACGAAACAAATGAAATCTATTTATTTCAAGGCCTACCTAGGAACTTACGTTTTTCTGGAATAACTTAGGCCCGTATCGTCAGTCGTCCCTACAATTGTAGGGCGCCTTTATGGCCTCCTTGATTGTCATAGTTTTCTACTTCTCCGTGTCAGAACTCTATTTTGAGGTTATGTCACAAACATCTATTTGCATCAAATTGTGCTTGCTTTTGAGTTATATCATGTTTTATCAGCCTGAAATTTCCTACAATTTAAAAGGAAAACAAATCTTCACAATAGGAGAGCGCTGACGCTGACACGGGACAAGTGTAATCTAGAAATTTTTGAAGGAGAGAAAGAAGTATGACAATCAAGGAGGCCATAAACGCGCCCTACAATTGTAGGGTCGACTGACGATACGGGCCTAAGGTTTGGTAATGTCAATGTATGGCATTATACATTTTTGAAATAAGAATTGAAAATCCTCTTTACCTGCGCAAAAATCCAATGTGGCGTCTATAGGAAAAAATAAAGTTGATTCAGGAAGACAAGAGACAAAACGTCATATTGTAATACTAATTATGCCATCTTGTAGAGGAGAAAAAGTGGCAATGTTAATCTGAAATTTATTTTCAAATCCTACTACAATTAAAGTTCGGAATAATTAAAACGATTTTGGGAAATTCTGTTTTTGCGCCTCCCTCCGAAACTTACTAAGAGGCATTTTGTTGATATCTTAAATACGCAACTTTGCCCCCATTTAAGCTACCTCGTATCTCTTGCAGTTTCCGAGATCCCAATGGTGAGGGACGAATTTGAAACACCCTGTACATTTCGTGATATTATTGATCTTTGTGTCCTAGAAATATTGGCTGCTAAGCTATTTCTGCTCAACAGTATTGAGCGATAGTTTTGTTTTTTAATTTAACATTATTCTAATTTTAATATCACCTTTGCAGCATTTAACTCAGTGTTTCTTAATTTTATATATATATATATATATATATATATATATATACTCAAAATCTAATAATTCTCTTCTCACGATTTATTAATAATTGTTAATTTAAAATTCCCATTAATTAAAATATAGTTTATTCAACTGCCTCTGGTCGGTTTAACAATTTCTTACATAACATTCTGAAAATCACATCATCTGAAGTGATTTGGCAACGTTTGGCACACGCCCACAATTCGTTCCATCTTTCAACACAGACATTGACAACCTTCGGCCTTCTGTCAAAGGTTCATCTCACTCATTATTCCATGACCACCATTTTGTGCAATCATCAAGTGGGTTCACGACGTAATGCTCTAATGTTTTTTAAATAATTTTTAATCTGTTTTTAACTTGTCTTGTCATATTTTATATAATTTTGACCATTGTACCATGTATCCAGCTCTCACCATGTTACTGGACGTTTCCCTCATCCTATACGTAAACAACAATTAGCAACATCCTCACATACTACTGTAAGTTGAGTCAATTTAAATTCATTTTACACTTTTGTTGCTACTGTTATCATTGTAATTGCAGCTCCTGATGATGATGGCAAAGTCCATTGAAAGCTAGAGAGAATTAAAAAAAGTATAAAGAGTCCTCTTTGCTTAAATTTTGTCGAAGTACCCAACAAAAGGCGGAAGCTTTAATTTTTCACATATATATATATATATATATATATATATATAAAATACAATTAATTGTTAATTTTGGAATTGGCAAACTTTTAGGCTTTAGTTACCTCTTTTGACGATAAAATCTAGCTTTTGGCAATTCTCTATGGAGCCATCATGAGGATCTGAAAACACAATTGCGATGCTAGCAACCAGTACAGGAACGACTTAAAATGTCTAACAACTTACTCGTCGATGAGGTTGCAGCCAAATGGTGTTTCAAAACGAACGTGGAGATGAGAGCACTTGTTACAATTATAAAATCAATCGGACGGAAACATTAGGTTTATTGATAACGACAGATACCATCGTTATACTATCAATACACCCGAACATATTAAAATTTCTTAACGAGAAGAAATTTTGGGGACAATTACAATCGGAATGCATTTTCTAACCTCCTACTTCCGCTACACGTGGAGCAGGTGGTCGGAACGGAAAGGTAATGCGCCGACAGATGACATGTGATTGACGCGACGGACTGTGGAATTGTAAGCATCATTGTCAAATTTGGGTAAGAAGTATACGAGTGACGCTCGGTACAACCTCATCCCAAATCACCAAAATGCTGAATTAAATTTGTTCTGAAAAAGTATGTAGTTCATATGACTGTCCGAATGTAAAATAGTGATACACATTTGAAAAGATGGGTTGTGTGAATGTATATTAAAGATTGTGAGAGAAAAGTTTCAATTGACAGGATAAACAATTGGAAATGTATTTTAATTTTTGAGAGTCTTTTTTCTTTGTCAAGAACCTCAATACTGCCATAATTCATAGAGTGTGTCATGCCAAAGCACATCTCTCTGGATGCAATCTGGCGGCACTTTTGTGTGATATTATCCTGCCTTTCAGTGATCTCGATGTTTGGCCTATACAGTTGTTGCAATTAATACGCTAGACAGTGTTGGTTGAATCAAGCAACTGAACCTTATCCTTCATTTTGGACAACAAACTGTTGACTGTGAGCACCGATTTACAAGCAAAACGACAATTAAAGGAAATATACAGCCTGATCAATTTTCGAGTTAGTTCTTTGATGTATTGCAATTAACTCTGGAAATAGGAGCAACACTGTGGTGCTGTTATTCTCATTGGTTGAAGAGTTCATGGGCGTCTGGTTGGACAGAACAGTGTTGTCATTTTCACTAATGTTATTCGCAATTGGCAAAATATTCGGAGGAGAGCTGAACAAGATTCAGTTAACCAAATACTTCGGATAACCATTGTTGATGAATACGAAATCTTCCTTAAATTGGATAGATGGCAAGTACTGTCAGAGATTTGTATTACCCTGTTTTTCATTTGTTTCAGCAGGTTTATTTTTATTTTAACTTCGTGGTAAGACCTGAAGTTCACGAACCTTCCGGAAGAAATTAGTTTCCTGTACCAGTCTACCAGTAATATATAGTCGTTGGTGCGAATCAATCTTGCATCCAAAAAGGGAACCGATTGATTGTCATCTTCTTTTTCGATGGTGAACTGGATGTAGGGATCATAACTGTTAAACACTTCAACAATATCATCGACCCTTTCATAAGGAAGACAAACGATAATATCGTCCACATACTATTTTATGAAAATTAGATTGTATGGCAATACTTGAATAACAACATCAAGCAGGTCATCCATTACATATTCTGCCAAAATTGGAGATAAAACAGAGCCCATGGGGCAACCATGTGTTTGTGAAAACACTTTGTTATTAAAAGTGAAATCATTTTTCTGGAAAAGGTACTCTACGATATTGATGAAAGAATCCAGAGTTAGGCTGCTGTGTTGGCAAATTTGATCCCAATGTTTGTTGATGGATCTAATGCAAGCTTCTAAATATACATTGCTGAACAGTGAAACTACATCTAGACTCGCAATAACATGATCAGGAGGTATTTGAAAGCTATTAAATTGTTGACAAACATCAAAAGAGTCTTTTATAAAGTATTCTCCCTTGATGTGAGCCGACTTTAGAGTATCTGCAATTAATGAAGATAAAGCTAGTGTGGCTGATTCAGCAGAAGCCACAATAGGTCTTACTGACAGTACCGGTTTGTGTATTTTGGGAAGAGCATAAAATTTAGGAGAGAATTATAAGTGATTAAGGATTTCTTTTGGTCCTGGTTGATTTGACCAGTGGTGAGTAGCCTGTTAACAATGACATTGCAACCTTTCTCTAATTTGGATGTAGGGTCTTTATTGATAACTTTATAAGAGGGATCATTATCAATCAAATTATTACATAGGTCAAAATATTGTTGTCTTAACATAATTACGGTAACATTGCCTCTGATTTTGTAATAATTAACTCAGGATGATCCTTAATAAATTTCGTTGTTTTATTTAACAGGTTTTGGTAGAAAGTGTTTTTTGTTCATGCTCCTGTTATGAAAATGGTTTGTGATAATATTGGTGGAACGAGTTATCGCAATGTTCCTTTCTGTGTCATCACTAATGGAAGAAGATATAGAATCTATAACAGCCAGAATATGTCTGATTGCAATGTCACTGTTGACAACCGGTTCAACACTAAACTTTGGACCTAAAGAAAGATATCTTGAGATATCATCTGGAATGTTGACATTACTACGGTTCTTCAACCAGTTTGGCTGAGTGTTGAGCAAAATTTTCATTGTGTCACT